TCCATCTAACTGGCCATTCCTTTGCACCAAATCTTTATGGTACCGTAACGTTATAAGCTATTCCCATGCGTCATTCAATCATCCGAGCAAGATTGCTATAAAGGAGCAACTGATTAAGCACCAAAACTACGGTCAACATCATGATCGACCAAAAATCCGTGTTCCATTTATTAATATTTGAGACTGTCTGGTTGGTAAACAGGAGAAAAAAGGTTTCCATTGCCGACATTACGTGTATATATATATATATATATATGTAACCTAAGTAATAATTAATGAAAACTTATCTTCATGATCGATATATATATATATATAGGGTTTGATCACGTTTTTCTCTTCTGAATTCTAACGGTCAAATAATACAAGAGCCTTTCTTGTGGAAAAACATTTATATATAAACCAAGCTTTGAATTTCTTGAACAGGCGAAAATAATTCATGCATGCGTACAAATCCATTCAAGGAAGGCCTTGGGAAGTCATTTACCAATTGATATTTGAAAGTGACAAATCGGCTACGCGTAATGGCGACATTGTCCTTTTTCGACGCCTTTGTTGGGCTTTAGAGGCTTTGTTAGCTGGGCTTTACGCCTTTTTCGCGTAATGATGCACTCACCTTATTAAACACAAACCATTGAGAGGCTTATATTATTTGTTGATTGTTTGATTCACTAATTGACTTATATATATATATATATATTATGTTGATAAAAATATACGTAAGTGGTTAATAAAAAAAACAAATTATTTAATTATGTATTCACATTTTACATCCAGAATATAGTTTTTTTAAAAAAGTCTGCTTTGAACAACTAATTAAGTAAAAAAAACTGACTGTAACATCCATCCATGCTAACTTTCATGTTGTTTTCTTTCTATCTGTCAAATTAAGTTATGCAAACAAAAATAATACATATACAGTCAACAAAAGAAAAAAAATTATTTAATTATGCATTCACGTTTTATGTGCATAATATGTATTTTTTAAAACATCTACTTTGAACAACTAATTAAGTAAAAAAAATGGTTGTAACCTGCATGCATGCTAACTTCTATACTATCTTATTTTTATCTGTCAGTTCATATATATATATGAGATATATTAAAAAATAAACTTCAAAGATAAGATATTTTTAAAATTAACTTTTTTTAATTTTAACTATTTTTAATCAAGTTAGACAAAATTATCTTTAATAAAATTTTCTTATATCAAGTGCACATGATATTACACGCTATATAAAAAAACGTGTTACACAACATGTATTAAACCTTTTTATATCAAGTGCACATGATGTTACACACCATGTTGAAAAGTGTTATTATTACACGTTATAATTAAAAAAAGTTATTACACGCTATATCGAAAAAAAAATTGTTATTACACACTACGAATAAAAACATGTTACATACCATGTTGAAAAAAATATTATTATTACATACTATGTTAAAAAAATGTTATTGTTACACGTTATATTGGAAAAAAAATTGTTACACTTTAATGTTTAAAATGTTATTGTTACTTGTAAACTAAAACTTCCAATCCTTCAACTCTTTTCATTTTTTTTTTACAATTTGACATCGATTAAAATGTTTCTAATTTATTTTCATAAATCAAAACACAATTT